TGAGATGGGGAGGGCCGTTTATATGTACGATTATTGCATCACAGCGGGCTACGCTGACGTTTACCAGAATTATAGGACCCTCCTGAGCGGCAGTTTTAAGTGTGCCGAACGATGGTGTACGCAGGAAATCAGCAAACCCCGCCGTTTGCCGAATTTCATCTAAAATTCTCTTCCATTCTTGGGACAGCAAGCGATGACGACGCAGCTTGTTGTCAGTGGCAGCAGGTTCGGGGCCCACCGACACAGACTTTGGATCGAAGAAAAAAACTGAGGCGACCATGGAAATTGAGGTGAGCATGTTCGATGGTTGTTTTAGCGCTAGGGAAGTGCGCTCTAATTGAGCGCTGGCCGCTTTGAATCGCTCTGCCAGGGACACGTTGACGCCACGAAGGTCAGCGATCGGATGTCGATACCCGCGCATCCTCGACCACAGCATCGTACGCCCCTGTTCGAGCAGCTCGACAGCAGTATCCAGTCGCCCGCTTTCCAGAGCCGCCGCTGCGGCGTCGGATGAGAGCTGCCTGAAGGGAATTTCACGGAGGAATTCTTGCTGCGCCTCGACGCTCTCCTTTGTGAGCAAGCGGAGTTGCAGAACGGTTAGTAACCGCGAAAACGCATCGACGGTCGAGGAGTGGTTGTGAGCGCGCGCCGCAGAACACCATTTTGAAGCCGCCTCAAACTGGGTATGGGACCCGGCATAAGGGTTGCTCGCGGCACTCTCAAAGAGGCCGAACGCAGTTGAGATGATTGCCTCTGTGAGAGGAACGATTTTCAGGTACGCAAGAGCCATCCCGGAATGAAGGATTGGTTTCATCGGGTCTTCCATGCTGATAGTCTTGTCGGCGAGGGCGTAATGCTCGAGCGCCGCATCTAAGTCTGTCCGCTCATTCGATATATCAAAATTCGCGGACAAGGCCGACGCGAGATTGGAGAGCAACATCCCATGATCCCAGCTCCCTTCAGAACAGTGGACAAGGGCCTCGTGATGTAGCTGGATAGCCTCCTGCAGATCCGAGAGCTGGCCAGTCTGCAGAAATCGATCATGCAGCACAACCGCAAGATATTCGCGGGATCTTGGATAATCGAAGTGTCCCACGGAGTGAAGAGGGAGGGCGTCTCGCGCATATTGAATGGCTCGATCCAAATGCAGGACGACCCCGGTGTGCGTCCAGAACCGCTTCGAGGAAAGTACCAAGACTCGGAGGCAGCGCTCGCGGCTCGGATGCCCAGGGGGGCACCCCGACAGTGCGAACTCCGCCATCACAATAGATTCCTCCATGTCTCGCTTTTCGCCAAGGATTTCGAACCGCGTCGAGAGTACACCTGCGAGGTTAAGCATGGGCAGAGCGCCGTCGGGATGACCAGCGGGGCACGCGGAAATCGATTGTCGACAATATGAGATGCCTTCCTCGAGATACTCCAGTTTACCCGAATACACGAAGCGATCGTTCATGATACCGGCGAGGCTATTCAAGGTGATGAATTTTCCGGGATCTCCCTGCGGAGACATGCGCACCGCCTCCACGCCGCATTTTCCCCCTTCGACAAGATCGTTTGGGTCCTGCAGGCAATAATATCGGTGTCGATAGATCGTGAGCATATTCCCCAGCGTCAAGAAGGCAGAGAAGCCTAGGAGAGGCGTAGCGCGCCGGCAGTATCTGAGTGCCTCCTCGAGATCATCGATGCGCCCGAAATGTTCGAACCGAACGGTATATGACATTCCAAGACCGTGAAGAGGTCCGCCCGCATCGCGGGGATTAGATCCCGACAGACAAAGAGCAAGGGCCTCCTTGCCGTACGCAATGGAGCGCTCGATGTCTACGGCTTCCTTGCGTAACTCGAAGCGGAGCCGCGTGGCGACAGCCAAAGCTTTCAGGGGGGCATGCCGATTTGCATCCCCCGGCGGGAGAAATTGCAATGCGGTTTCGCATAGCGGAATCCCTTCATCCAGAAGAATGGGTGTTTTTTGCAAAGAATATCGGTTGAGAAGATGGCAGCCCAGGGCCTGGGAGGCACGAGCATGGTAGGAGTGGCCGACGGGACAAAGGCGGGTGAATTCGCGGCAATATGCTTCTGCTTCGTCGAAATATTTCACCTGCCCGAAGTGGAGGAAATGAAGGTCGAGATAATGAGTGTATCTTTCCAGGATCGAAGGGCGACTATCATGGCCGGGTTGAGTGAGAGCCAATGCGCGACGAGTGATTTCGACAGCATCAGCGATATCGTGGCCCTGTCCGAGGAGTTGAAAGCGCGAGTAGCTGCTAAATGCTACGTTGTCGTAGACTTTTAATCGGACCTCAAGCACTGATGGACAGCACGTCAAGGCGCCGCGGCCACAGACTATTCCTTTGACCAGATCCTCCATCCTCCGAACTGTCTCGAACCGCATGAGAAATCCTTCTGCGAGACTGATTAAGGTGTGCCAGCGGTCCGGATGGCCCTTGGGTCTTAAGGGAAGCACTCGTAGGTGGCATTTTATTCCTTCGTTGAGCTCTGGAGCGTGTTCGTGGAGTTTGAAACGCTCCAAAAGACATGTGCCAAGCAAGTTCAGAGATACGGCGGTGAAGGGCGTAGAGATGTGAGGGAGCGACATAATTTCACGGCTGTATCGAAGGGCATCTTCGAGAGCTGCAGAATTTCCGGACAGCAGGAACGAGGCACAAAGTTGCGTTCCTGCGAGATTCAAGTTCATCGGGCGCTCAGGATGTCCAGGCGGGGACAACGCTAGCTTTCGGCGGTGCTCAGTAATCAAGCCTTCGACATCCGTAGTTGGGTAGGCCTGGGTTTGGTTTACATGAGAGGAGGGAAAGCTCGAACCCAGAGGCGACTCACCATCTCAGTTCTGGCAGAGAACATTGCGTCGATGCGTATGCGGAAGGGGGGCCAGGAGACCTAGCAGATCTTTTCCATTAGCCATCAGCCCCAAAGCCCAGCTGTGACCCGTACAGAGTGATTGAACGTAGCAAGTGCGAAGAGGCGCAGTTAGTTGTCAATGGGATGAGCTGGACGACAGCGTTTAAGCGGCCAAGATTCCATGGTACAGATCAGGCCAAATCGAGGAAGATTGCATAAGATGTGATGTCGCGCCACGTAGTGCATGTCTCCCGCTGTCTCCCGACGCCGAGGAAACAGGCACGGTCCCGTGCTGTTCGGGGAACGCGTCAACATCTTCAACAAAGAACAGCAACAGCACAGCCTCGCGGTTCTCTTCCTTCCGTCTACCTCTGGCAGTAGACTCTCAGGCCCATCTCGGCGCGCCTTTCCAAATGCTAATCTCCGACAAGGAACGCTCCGCAAACCAGGTGGAGTCGCAGACACCGGGCCGGTGCTCGCCCACCCATGACCCTGATTCTCCTTCCCTTCTGCATCTTCTCTGCCAATGGAGGCTGCGAGCTTTTCTTATCTTGGCTCGCCGCTCAATAAGCCCTCACAACTGGCTCCGAAATTAAAGACCCTCCAAAACCTGCTGCACGGGCGCCGCTACACCCTCACTCGAATCACAGTCTGTTCTCCCATCGATAGAGCAACTTCTCCAAACTTCTCCCCCAACCTCGTCAGAAAGGCTGAGAAAACTCGTAGTACTGCGACCGCCTGAGACACGCCTCTGCCTATCGCCCATCGATAACCTCGAATAGGGACATTTCCTTACAGAGGACCGATCGTGATCTCACGAACGCTCCCGCTTCTCAAAATTACAGTCAGATTTCTTGCGGTCCAGGAAGTTGGCTATCGCAAAGTCCCGAGGGTCCCGTCTAGGTCTGGTATTGGCGGCAACTCGGATCTAGACACGTCATGTCTAGGCTTTCCGCTGCGGGCGGCTTCGGGATCCCCCTCGGCACGTATGGGCTATCGGCATCAAAATGCCGCCCAGCGATACGGTATTTGCTCTTCATCTCCCGCCGATGCGCCTCCATCGATCATGATCGCGATACGATTCTGATTCCCCGCATTAATTATGGGCGTCTGCCATCTGGCGTCGTGGGAGGCGCATCTTGACATCCTGAGAACGCGGGGTGATCCGCGTCGTGTACACTCCAGCTCCAGTGCTCGTCAACCTCAGCACTCCGGACCGCCCTCAAAGAACCCGGAAATATGCGCTTCCGATTTGTTTTGGGGCTGAGAGCACCACGCTTCCCCGGCTCCTGCACCCCGAACGTCAATCTATTTTCTCGGGATCTCGCACTCGGAAAACAGCTCATTCGCACTGCAGTATGCACGTTCGTCGCCGTCGTACATTGCATTGCGTGCTCGTCGGCGTAGCGTAGGATCCGAGATGCTGCCGTGCACTCTCATATGCCCTGGCTCCCCATCCGGCTCGCACTTCTTAGGAAGCACACAGATCAGGCGGATGACTCGTTTCCACCTTAACCCAGTAGCGCTCCTACGCTAAATCCAGCTTCCTCTGGTGGTACAGAAGCAAATTCGGAATCAAGGTGCTGTCGAGCGACGCCACGCCACGCCTTTTCCTGCATGCGGGCGCAGGGTTGCAGTTGTGTGCACTAAAACTAGTATGACGAGGTGCTGATTTGTGGCGTACTGAACATATGCATGAAGTAAAGGCGACAGATGTGCCTGGGTGTTGCTAGATACCCTGCACGTCGAGTGTGGGTCGGTGACTATGCGAGCCGGATATAAGACGGCCACTCTTAGACATATGACTGCACCCGCAAATTATACTTGGCGGATACGGAGACTTTACGAGGCCACTTAATCATCTGCCACCGTTCGTAATCCCTGAGGTAGATGCCACAAGCTTTCGGTCCCCAAGTTCGTTCCTTGCATAAGGTGATTTAGCCGTGGCTTGCATTACAGTATACTATAGGAATTTAATCCGAGTCGGGCATCAATAATTGATCCCACGGTCGAAAATATTCAATCCTCCCCATTCCCGCATGCCTGCGCCTATAGACGATGTTCGGGAGGTAGCCCACGCTCTGGAGTACCTCGCCCAACTGTTCTTATTATTTGAAGCTATCCATGTACTTCGGTAACCCTTCAACGGGCTTATAGTGTAGTTGGTTATCGCGCCCGCTTCGCACTCGATTAGCACAGCCACTGGCTTACTTAATCATCGATGCGGGAGGTGCTGGGTTCAATTCCCAGTGAGTCCACTCTTTTTCATTGCCTCGACCTCTCTTTTTGCCCCGGCAACGTCCTAGGACGATGGAGACGGCGGGATTTTTTTTTGAATCATCAGGGGAATTTTCTGGGATTTTTAGGAAGGGGATATCCTTTCTTTCATAATGGGAGCTTTGGGAGGAGGATCAAGCAGCTTGTGTTGTTTTCTCAGATTTTTTGAGGTCCTTTTGGAGGCGGGGAGGGTTCGGAAGGAAGGGTGTTAAAAGGCGTGACTGGCTGATTTCTTGAAAGATTCTTTGGGAAGACCTTGGCATTTTTGTACAACCCCAGAGAGTATTGGGAAGGCCTCCAGGTGTCTGCAAAGGATTCACCCCCACCCATATTATGATTACAATTCACAGACGAACCGCCCAAGCATTTCTGCAAGGATGGTCAAGTCCAGGGAGCAGTAGAGGAGGGGTAGCACTACATACTAAAGTACCGATGGCAAGGGACATGCTCATGCTCTACCTATGACACTGCTTTAGATGTCCCTTGCAGCCCGTCTCACGGCCATGATCTATCGTCCGTTTAAATGACCACACAAAGAACAGCTGGTTGATTCAGGGCACCACCGAGCATACCACATAATAAACAAACCTGTAACGTATGTAGTTCACCATGTGTATCTTCATGTGTAGTGTGTCCCTCAATTATTTTTTGGATTTGTTTTTGAGCAAAGTGAAAGCGAAGTGCATATTGTGCCAAGTATTTACGAGCGAAGAGCGGCCAATTTGAATAGCATCCATTTTTGAGCGCCGCGAAGCACCAGCATAAAATGCACTAAGGCTGAAAGGGGTTGCGACTTTGACGAAATTCACGAGGGTTGTGGGTTCTCAATTAGGGGTAGAGTAGGGATTGTGCTAGAAGAGTGGTGAGAAAGGGGAGGGCGAGATAGAATAGGCCGGATTTATCAGTGTGTCCTTGAGAAAATTGGAGGTCAAAGAACAGCGGCGGTGATTCTCTGGTGAGAGCCCGGGCGGAAATGAACAAATGACATTTATATATTTGGGGGTTCGAATGCTGTGTTGGCTAGAGGAGGAGTCGAGGAAGTACACGCCATAGCACGGAGTAGGAGCTTTATTGTTGGGGTCGCAGTTGGGGTGGGCGGGAAGGCGCGCGTTCGATAAGATAAGTAGCGGCTAGGCGGGATTTGCGCTCGACGTGAAAGTGATCCGCTGCCGGTGGGCTTGGCGCGGCGCGTTGTGTCGGAGGAAGCGGACGCTTAATTGGGCAAATTAAAGCATGCGAGTTCGGGTTAATTAAGTGCGTAAAACATGCGAGGAGGTGGCGGGCCGGAGGTGGGGCTCGCCGTCGCGGGTGGGTGCTTCTGGCGAGATGTTGACGGGGGTGCTCGGGTATTCATGCGCGAGTTCATTAATGTTGTTGCGGACGGAGGATAGGGGGTTCGGAATTTTTGTCGCTGTGAATTTGCTTGTGCTTTCGCTTGGCTTGATAATATTATATAATAAGACTAACTTTGAGAGACGGGCGGGCTAGTGCGGGGATCCGGGTTGGGATCAAGAACGTGAAAAGATCCAAGATTGAAGAAATGCGTGCCAAGTGGAGGGTGGGATCATGTGGTTTGGTTCGGTGCGGGGTCCGAGGATGGGGCATACATACTAATAGCAGACACATTCGACTCGGAGGGGAGGGGTTGCTTGAGGGCCAGCTTGATTTTGACTTGGAGGAATTTCTTTGTTCAAAGTTATTTTGAGGTTTACTGGGACGGTTGCAATTCGTTTAATTTCGGGCGGGAAGGCGAGCCTGGCAAAATATCATATGTAGGGATTCGCCTCCCCTCTTTTCCTCATGTCCAGTTAATAACGTCCTTCGAAATCGAATTCCCCCCACCGTAGCGCGAGGCAGATTCTCCGCCGCCCTGGCTCGACTCGTGTCGCTAGCCGAGCTCTCTTTTCCCCCGCGTAGTGACGTTCTCCACCGCGTATCGACTTCGAACGTCGAATGTACTATTGTCGGATGTCCTCCCCCTCGAATCCACCTTCGAATGTCATTCGCATACCCTCCACCCTCTGCCGCTGCGCCGTGTTAGGCTTAATTAGAGGCCTGGCATCCCACGCCTCCCTTCCTTCCTTCTCGACCCGTCCGGTTGTGGCCCGTATGTTTAATTTGGGACTGGATCGACCTGCCGAGTCGGGAAGGATCCTGGAGCCTCAGGCTGGAGCGACGAGGCGTGTCGGTTGGCGCTGGCGCTGAATACAGGAACGCCGTTAATAACTACTTCTTGGGTTACATGCATCAGATTGACATAGCCATCGCTTATGTTGAGCTGTGGACATCACGGCGTTGTCGCGCGGGGTTGTTTAGCGCGGGCAAGGGGAAGGAGGAAGGAGGGCGTAGAGTGGTAGTCGCACTACATAGAAGGAGGCGTGAGCGGGATACGGGTAGGCGAGGACAGGCGTGCGAGCTTATCTCTCTCGGCGGGATCATCGTCGGCGGCTAGATTGCACTTGCTGTCCAGGCGAGGCTACTTATCTACATCTACGCGCGGCCCGATCGTGATCGCGCCGTCGCGTCCACCGAGACGATGCTGCGTTCATTTGCAGGATACTCTGACCGGGCCGTGATTGGGTTTCTGTGAGAACACGCTGGAGATTAATTGCTGCGCGGTGGGGAAGAATTCGAATCTGATGTGATTGGTATAAGTATTGGCACCTCGAGGCCGGGTGCCGTCCCGGGTACCTCGAGGCCTCGCTAAGCTGGGTTCAGGGCATGCGCTGTGGCGGTTCTGGGGAGATCGACGCGCCACGAGGCACGGTGTGCACTGGATGCAGCGGCGGCGTAGGAGGGTTAGAGCGTACATTATGCTGCATATTATCTACTGTGCTACTAGGGCTTGTACAGCGAGCAACAAGGGGTATGAGGGAGGGATAGCAAGTGCAACGTGCCCCAGGCTCGAGTTTCCATACTGGGCTGCGGGAGGTATAAGTCAAGTCATCGCCTGATCTCTCTACTTCTTTGTCTGTTTTCTGCTTTCTGCCCCGCTAGCCACCGCGCTAGTCCCTCTGAATGCCCTCTATCCTCAACCTCAAGTTCAAAGTCCGTTCCTGCGCCCTGCGCCCCCGAGCTGTCCTGACCTTTTCTCTACCCTCCTCGTCCTCGCCGTTCGCCTTTCGCTTTGCGCGCACAGGGTAACAAGTCCTTTGTTGCGTTCAGCAACCTCAATGACGCCGAGTCCTTGACCAAGACCTGGAAGGTGCCTCCCCTTCTCCCTTTCCCGTTTTTTCGCCGTTTTTCGGCGCGGCGTTTTCCCGGGGTTACTTGGCGTTTGCTGACGGTGCGCGCATAGGTCTGCACCAAGGTCGCGAGCTACCTCGAGCAGGGGCAGCGCCTCGAGAACTTGTCCTGGCGGTGTGTTTCGCGTCTTCTTTGTGTTATTGGGCGATGGCTGAATGAAAGGATTTGGCGCGCAGGCTATGGCACCTGCAGAACCTGATGGTCGACACGGACAACGCAAAGTCCAAGCGCGAGTTCAAGAAACTGTCCAAGTGCATGGGCGACAAGCTCGACAAGGAAAAGGGCCGGTATGTGCGGTTTTCTTTGTTCTTTCTTTCTTTCTTCTTGCCTTCCTTTTTCTCTCTCTTGTATCTATATCTGTGCCTTCTACCCGACTCCAATAGACCCTACCCTTACCTTACCCTCCCCCGTCCTTTCCTTTCCTTTTCCTTCCTTCGCCTTCTTTCTTTCACGTCACGTCCCCTCCCTCCCTCTCCCTTACTAACACCCCACCCCCAGGAGCATCGAAGAGCTCCCCGCGCCCGACTTCAAGCGCACGCCCTCCACCGACCTGCTGCGCCAGCGCGCGGTCGAGAAGGAGCGCACGCGCGAGGCGAGCCTGCACACGCCCGAGCACACCCTCCAGCGCATGCAGTTCACCTTCGCCGTCGACCCGCCCCAGGCTTCTGCCACCACCACCACCACCTCTAACGCCAACAACGCCAACGGTAACGCCAACGCGACGAACGCCATGAACGCCAATGGGACGACCTTCACGAGCTCCGCCAAGAACGCCAACGGCCCCGCCCACTCGCACTCCCCCTCCCACACCACCCACGCCACCGCACCCGGCAGCGTGCGCCTCCCCACGCTCTTCAGCACCTCCTTCGGCCCCACCGCGCTCCTCGCGCCGCTCCCCTCCCTCGCCCCGCGCATGAACTACGGCGAGGCGCACACCCACACCACGGGGGGCGACGACGCGATGCGCGTGCGGCGGCCCACGATCGAGCTGCCGCTGGACGAGCTGCTGCACGCAGAGGGCGACGACGACGCGCACGACGCGCACAATGCGGACACTGACGGGGGGCAGGCGCTGGACGCGGGGCACGAGCATGACGAGATGGCGGGGATGGGGATGTACGGGAAGGAGGAGGAGTGGGCGGGGTGGGACGAGCTCATGCGCGGCGCGGGCGCGGGGTTTGACTTCCACGTCGCGCACCATGTGGGGGGGTATGGCCATGGGGAGGACGGGATGGACGTCGCGACGCCCGGCGCGTCGAATAACACCTCCAACGGCAACGGCAACGGGAACGGGAACGGGCAGCAGACGACGCTGAATCCCAGCGCGACAACGCTCGATCCGAGCCAGACCCTTCATAACCACGGCCACACCACCAGCAACAGCGCCCAGAATCAGAACCAAAATGGGAACCAGAGCGGAGGAGGGGACGCGCCGCTGACGCTCGACCCCGCGGCGTTCAAGTCACCTGCGCAGGCGCCGGGGCAGCTCTCGCCGAACGCGTACTTCGCAGAGCTCGACTCGCCTGCGCCGCACCACCTCGCGCTGCCCTCCTCGTCGTCGTCTTCCGCCCATTCCAGCGCGTCTCACTCGCACTCGGCCTCCGCGCCCGCGCGCCACCGCCACGCCGCGAAGCACCGCCGCGCGCAAGCAGCGTACGCGGACGACGGCGAGGCGATGGACGGGGACGCGATGGAGGGCATGGAGGAGGACGAGTCGAGCGACGACGGCGGGGAC